GAGAGACAAGAGACACACACAGAGAGACAAAGACAGAGACACAGAGAGAGAGAGAGAAAGAGAAACAGAGAGACAGAGACAGACAGAGGCAGAGAGACAAAGAGAGAGAGAGAAAGAGGTCTCCCTGTGTATCCCAGACTGACCTTAACTTTTGATCCTCCTGTTTTAGCCTCCAAAGTGCTAGGATTATAGGCATGCACCACCATACCTCACTTCTCTATCAGAGATTTAAAGAAGAATTAACACAAATCCTTTTCAAACTCTTCCCAACAACTGAAGAGGAGGAACACTTCCTACCTTATTCTATAAGGCCAGCATTGTCAAACCAGGCAAAAGCACTACAAAGAAGAAAATCAGAAACTAATACCCCTGATGAATACAGATAAAAAATCTTCCACAAAATACTACAAAATTGAATTCAGCAATATTTTTAAAGGATTATACACCATGAACAAGTGGGATTTGTTCCTAGAATGCAAGAATTATTATATATACAAAAATGATTATAATAATTAGTTGATTAAAATTAAGAGGAAAAACTTGCATGATTTCAAATAATGCAGGAAAAATATTTGACAAAATTCAACATGATTTCATGATAAGAAAAAAAAAAAGAACAAACTAGGAAGAGAAGAAAATGACCTCAACATAATAAAGACAACAGATGTAAAAGCCCACATCTAATATATTCAATGGTGAAAGAGTGAAAGCTTCTTCTCTAAGATTAGAACAAGACAAGGATTCCTCCTTTCACCACTTCTATTCAATATAGTACAGGAAGCCGAGCTAGAAAACTTAGCCAAGATAAAGAAGTCTTGTATCCAAATTAAAAAACAAAATTATCTCTACTCATAGACACTATGATTTTAAATATAGAAAATCATTAAGATTTCACAAAAAATATTAAAGCAAATAAACAAATTCAACAAACTTACAGGATACATAATGAAAGCACAAGAATCAATTCTATCTCTCTATACCACCAATGAACAATTCCACTTACAGTACTATCAAAAAAGAATAAATAGGAATAAATTTAATCAAGGAAGCAAAATGCTTACACTGAGAACTACAAAATGATGCTAAAAGAAAGTAAAGACACCAATGAAGAAAAGATATTCTGTTGCTCATGAATTAGAAGACTCAACATTGTCAAGAGGTCAATACATGATTTACAGATTCAATGCAATCCCTGTTAAAATCTCAATGATTTGTTGAAATAGAAAAGACATCCTAAAATTAATACAAGCTCTCACAGGATACCAAATCACCAAAACAATGTTGAAATTGAACAAATTTAGAGATTTCTCACACCTCCTGATTTTAGAACTCACTACAAAGTTACAGTCATTAAAGCGATATGGAACTAGCATAAAGACATAGTCTACTAAAAATCATTTCATATTTCCAATGTGAAAAAGACAGTCTTTTCAACAAATGGAGGGAAACTGAATATCCACATGTTAAAAAATGAAGTTGGACCTTTACCTTGTACCATATACAAAAACTAACTCAAAATGGATCAAAGATCTAAACCTAAGAGCTAAAAGTGTAAAGCCCTTAGGAGAAAATCCTCATGGCTTTGTATTTGGCAGTGATTTCTTGTATATGGCACCAATAGAAAAGTCAAGAAGGGCAAAAATAGGCACGTTAGACTTACTCAAAATTTAAAACTTTTTCTTTCAGTGTTAAGGATTAAACCCAGGACTCCCTGTATGTGTATGCTAGGCAAGTACTCTACCACTGAGCTGTATCTCCAACTCCAAAATTACTAACTTTTGTTAATAAAAGAACACTACCAACAAAGTAAAAGGGCAACCTGTGGCATGACAGAAAATATTTGCAAATCATGTATCTGCTAGGGAACTGATATCAGAATATATAAAGAACTCCTACAACAATAACAACAATAAAAAACAAACAAAAAAAAAAAACTGGATTCCACAATAGACAAGGGACTTGAACAAATATTCCTCCAAAGATAACAAATGGCCAGTCATGCACCAGTGGCTCACAGTCTGTAATCCTAACTATTCAGGAGGCTGAGATCAGGAAGATACAGTCTGCAGCCAGCCTGGAAAAATAGTTCCCAAGACTGTATCTCAAAAAAAAAAAAAAAAAAACCACCACAAAAAAAGGAGACTGATGGAGTGGCTCAAGGTGTAGGCCCTGAGTCCAAATCCTAGTGTCAAAAAAAAATGAATAGCTAATAAGCACATGAAATGATATCCAACATCACTAGCTATCATTAGAGAAATAGAGATCAAAACCACAATGAGATGCCACTTCACACCCACGAGGCTGGCTCTCACCAAATACACAGAAAATAACAAGGGCTGGCTAGGATATGCATAAACTGAAACAACTGTACATTGCTGGTAGAAATGTAAACAGTGTGAGTTCTGTGGAAAACAGTATAGCACTTTCTCAAAAAGTGCTATAATTTTATCCAGCAGTTTCTCTTCTAGGTGTACACCCAAAAGAAGAGAAGGCAGGAACTCAAAAAGATATTTGTACACCCATGTTCATAATTATTATTCACAGTAGCCAAAATGTGGGAAAAATCCAGATGTTCCTCAATGAGTGAGTGAATGAATACAAAGTAGTATATTCAGACAATGGAATATTAATCAACCTTTAAAAAGAAAGGAAAGAATAAACTGCAAGAACATTATGCTAATTAAAATAGGCCAGTCATAATATTAAATAATTCCACTTATATGAGATGGACAGAATAATTCACAGAGACAAATAGACAATAGAATGGTGGCTGCCAGGAACTGTGGAAAAGAAGGGGTGGGAAGTTTAATGGGTACAGAGTTTCATTTGGAGAAGAAAAGTTCCAGAGGTGGCTGCAATGGGTAAATATTTGTGTTCCCCCAAAATTCATGTTGAAATGCTAACCCCCCCCAATGGTATTAAGAGGTAGAATCTGCAGGAGGTGGTTAGGTCATGAGGATGGGCCCTCAGGAGTATATTAGGGTCCTTATAAAACCCAAAGTCTGGAGAGATAGCTCAGTGGTAGTGGTAGTTTATACAAGTCCAGGGTTCAATACTCAGTACAGAAAGAATGAGAGAGAGAGAGAGAGAGAGACTCACTAGAGAGTTCTCTCATTCTCTACTCCCCATGTGTCTGCCAGCTTGAAGAGAAGGCCCTCACCAGAACATGCCCACGCTGACATCTGGACCTCAGACTTTCAGCCCCCAGAACCATGAGAAATAAATTCTGCTGTTTTTAAGCCACTCAGCCAATTAACACTTTGTATGGCAGCCTGAGTGAAGATATTGATGATGATCATGCAACAGTATGAATACGGTACCTCTCCTTATGTGAGGTTTTGCTTTGCAGGTTTCAATTACCCATGAATCGCTGCAGCATGAAAATATTAAGTGGAAAATTCCATAAATAAACAATTCATAAGTTTTAAACTGCACGAGTGTAGTGTGATGAAATCTCGCACATTCCACTCTGCCCAACCTGGAACATGAATCATCCCTTTGTCCAATGTATCCACGCAGTATACACTACCTGCCTGTCAGTCCCTTAGCAGCCATCTCAGTTATTGGATCAATTGTTATAGTATCACAGTGCTTGTGTTCAAGTAACCCTTACTTGACTTAAAAATGGCTTCACAGTACAATATTAGTGATTCTGGCAATTTTATTACATTATCTTGCTTTAACTGTTCTATTTTGTGATCAGTTATTGTTAATGTCTTACTGCGTCTGATTAATAAGTTAAACTATTTTAAAGAATGTATGTATAAGAAAAATGCAGCATATGTAGCATTCCTCCATCCATGATTTCAGGCATCTTGGAATATATCCCACACTGATAAGTGTGAGTTTCCGTATACTTAATGCCACTGAACTGCACACTTAAAATGGCCAATTTTTCATTAAGTCTTTTTTCCACAATAAAAAATAAATAAAATAATGATGCTATGCCCAGAAAAAGGCTTGGGTATACTACTGCAGTGCCTAAGAACATGTCTGAGCTGTGCTCCCAGAATGACCTTCCCTACTTCCCCCTCCCAGCCCCCACCACCCAATCTACTGCTGCCACCTGCAGAGCCATCTTCCCTGTGAAAATTAGGCTAATAACTTCCAGGCTTCTTGCAGGATTAGGGCTACCAGATTTAGAAAATAAAGATACAGTTCCATTTGAATTTACAATGAAGACTTTTATACAAACAATGAATAATTTTTTAAATGTAAGTATGGCTCATGAGATTTTGAGAGGTTATTTATACAAAAAATTACTCCTTGCCTATCTAAAATTCAAATTTAACGAGCCATCTTTTGTTTCACCAAGTACCTCACTTTAATTTATGTGTACCATGAATGTCCCAAATGGTTAACTCAAGAGCAATTTTTATTGATGTACTAATTTTTTATTGATATACTAATTTCTCAATGTCACTCTTTGTGGTTTTACATAAGAAACTGGGTTAATTATTTCAATTCCTGTTTTTTATTGCTTCCAATTATTACATAAAATATGAAGATACTTTCCCCAAAAAGATTCATTTTAATACATTTGTTTGGAGTAGTAATGTATACTGTGCAGCACCTTTTGGTAGCAGAGGGAAGTATAATAAAAATCAATTGGAATTTTACAATTATAAAACATTCTAATGTCCTATCCAGGGCCTGTCCATATGTGTTCTGATTTGTGCAGAACCAAGCCCTGGTGCTATCAGAACACTGACCAACATTCTATTTACCATCTCCAGTGGTTCTCTGGCACCCTATGGAACAGTATAATTCCTTCCATCTGTGTGTTGTTTTGCACTGGCTGAGACCACACTGAAATACACAGCTATTTGAAAAGACAAGTAGTAAAGCCCCCCAATTCTAAATGTAAATCTCAGGTAGTGGGGAAGAGGGTGTACCTATGTTGACAAGAACTATGAGCCCCTCACTTGTCTGAGAACTAAGCTAGGATATTCCACTACTTAGAAGGAATACATGAAGATCAAAAAGTCCTTTTGCTTTACCTGGAGTGGCACTACCCTGTACATCAGGTGATCAAAGTAAAGGTCCACTGCTTCGGTGAAGCCTTTATATGTTGTTCTCAGCCTCATGCCAGGGTCTTGGAGTAGCCAGCTTGGAGACAAAAGGGAGGACAGAGGGCATTAGTGTCAGGGTCTGGGGGTTTGCCTTGGGAGGACTGACAGTGCAGGGAAAGGGAAGCAGCTTCAAAACAACTTAGGAAGGAATCTGGAGACCAGGGCGAGCCAAGAGCCATGCTACCCTGCCACCTCTAGTCAGTCAGTAAGCCAGAAATCAGTACAAACAGTTTAGGACGAGCATGCCACAGGCCCAGCCTATGCTTCACTGCTTCCTAACCTAACACAGCCCTGGGAAGTCCACGTCCAGCTGAGAAGTCTACCAGCCCTATGGCTGCCAACATTTGGGAGTCAGAGGCAGGAGGATCGCAAGTTTGAGGCCAGGCTGGGCTAAATAGAGAGATCTGACTCAAAAAACCAAAACCAAACAAACAAAAATGGGTAAAGTCAAAAGGTTTAGGAATCACTGAGGCTAGAGAAGGACCCAGGCATAGCCTTCCCAGGTCACCCCAAAAAATGAGCCTGACAAACTGTGAGAAGCTGGTGGAAGGACTCATTCACAGGACTGCGATGGGCCTGAAGGCAAGATGATGTCTTTCTCTGCTTTATGCTGTGATCACAAATTGCAGGTGGAACACAGCACCATGCACTAGTGCTGGCGTACTTCCTTCTCCAGTGAAGCACTGAGAAACACATTTTCTAACAAAAGGCTCTGAGGCGTCTCTGCCCTGATTTGGAAGCTCTGACCAGAGTCAGAAAAGTACCAATGTTGCACACAGTAGAAAAGGAGACAAGAGTCCACATCACATGTGGTATCAAACAGGCCTACTTCCTAGCTACACTGGGGGCCACAACCTAAGCTCTGCCCCAGGACCCCCTCATAAATGGGCAGATGTCCCCTGCAGGAAGGTCTGAAGGGAGCATCACTGCTGCTTCTAAATTAAGACTGTTAAACCCTATTGTCCTCCTATGCCCGGCTCCAGCTGAGCCCCAGGAAATCGCTGACCAAGGCCCAGATTTCTAATCCAATCTGCAAGGAGGAGGCAGCTGCTCTGGCTGTGTTCACGCTCTTGTCTGGGACACTCTGCCAGCTCAGAGACATGAGCCTAGGTACTGGAGAGATGGAGACAGAGGTTGAGCCCTGAGGGAATGGTGTGTAGTGATGGAAACAGAGAGGAAACAAGACGAGGACTCAGTGTTTGCACTGTGGGGAGGTGGATTTCCCAGGAGACTTTGGGTGAACAGGCTCAGCCTTCTTCCCTCTTGGAGAAGCACAGGGTAGGGGATTTGGGACAGCATGAGACTGGAAAGCTCACCTCTATAAACAAGAACATCTTCTCACTGAAAATAAAGGCAATAATGATGAGGATGAGGAATGAATGATCCTGGCTGACTCCTGCCCAGATTTCCACTCCAACTGTAGAACACTGAGTGTTCCGACCTCAAAAGAGCCTCACTTGGGAAGATTATACTTTAGGATATTTGAAGACAAATAGTAACAACAGCTTCTCTTCTACTTCTTTTAGTCCTTGGACTTTTAATAAATGACTGGTAACATCCCTAAGAAACAACAGGACAAGTTTCATTTTCCCCATTTTGTAGTCAGGGTAAGTAAGGTCCAGAGCAAAATGATCTGCCTGGTGTCAACAAAATGCCTCAGAATGGCCAGCCCTCCTGCTACTGCTTGCCACACAAAATGACCCAATGAGATTTTACAAGGGCAGTAACTATGACTTCATTCAAAAATGATGCCTTATTCTGAAATAGAATAAGTGCCGCTTATTCTGAAAAAGAAATTCAGCCCAGAATCAAAACTGCACCTTAAAAGCAAAACTAAACCAACCTCTGGGAGTTTTTGCATGAGCATACAGATACCCTGAGCACTCTGGAGAGCCTCCCTTCCCCTGCCATGCCCCACTCACCTGGGCAAGCCCCCCAGGTCAATCTCACTGCAGATGTAGGGGCCAGGACGCAGAATCACCCACAGCCCAATCTCTGCAGCCAAAAGGACAAATGCCCTGGGGAGGGAAACAAAGTCAGTTCCTCTCAGAATGGTCCAGAGGGAATGCTGTGTAGGGAGGAGGCCACAGCCATCATGGGTGTCAGAGTGGCCTGGCTCCTCCCTCTCTGTAGTCTCTCTACCAGGAAGACTGGAGGAGGGAAGCTCAACCCCAGTCCAGCAGAACAGGACATCTGGACACCAGGTCGGAGGCCAGAGGCCCTAAGATCTGGGTTTACGCTGGCTCCTAGCGTCAGGGCTGCCCACACAGCCCCACTGGGGGCCTGAGCAAGAGCAACAGACCTGCTAATCCAGAGGCAGCCCCTGCCCTAGCCCAGGTGGCTAGACCCCACAGCAGAGCCAGGTGTCACCTAGGGTCTTGGGCCTCCTGGGCTACACTGCAGAAGAGGTGTTAGAGACTGCAGGCCCAGCCTCCCGGGTGACCGGTCACAGCTAGGGAGCACCTGGGTCTGGGCTCAGAGCCCCTCTCAGCATCCTGAGAACAAGGCTCCAGACCCCAGCCCTCCCTAGGGTTCCTAATCAATCCGCAGTGACCACCTCTCTACTGCCTGCCCTGCCCAGGTCACAGAAGCAGCAATACCACATACTCCAGGTCCAGGTTCCCAGAGAAGTCGAATTTGCCTCTTTCTGGCTCATGGAGGTTCCATGGGACATAACTGTAATAGAAAAATAATTACAGGCAAGAGCTTGTCATTCATCTCACCTTACCTCCCAGATTAACATTTTTTATCTCCAAAACCTTTCTGATAGCCTTTGGTAGTGGAACCAAGAACTGACTGAATAGACCTGGGGATCGTAGAACATCCAGGGCAAGTCCTGAGGGACTAGTATGTCATCTCCTTAGGAAGAGAGACAGTCAACTAGATTGGGGTGAAGCATGAGCCATGCAGAGCAAAAGGCCAAGCTCTATGACCACAGGGCAGCTTGCCATCCCCACCCTTCATTGGAGAGAAAGAAGTAACTTCAGAAAAACAGACAAAAGAAGGGTAAGAGGAAAGCTCAGTTGTTGGTCCTATTCTTACTGAAGCATCTGGATTTCCAAAACTCACACAGAATGGAGTTTCTAACTCTAAGGAAAAGATATGGACATGCAGTAAGTATGGAAGGAAGTTCAGCCCCAGCCCAAGAGAACAAGGCATCTGGACACCAGATCGGAGGCCAGAGGCCCTGAGAGCTGGGTTTGCCCTGACTCCCAGCATCAGGGCTGCCCACACTGCCCCACTGGGGCTCTTAAAGAAGCCAACGCAAGTCAGGGGGAGGGAGTCTTCTTGCATGATAAATGCAAGCACCAAGTTGCTGGCCTCTAGCAGGGCCCTCTCCCACTGCAAAGAATATTCACAGGTGAAGGGAGGGAAGGCTTCCAATTCAGACCCAAGAGATCCATGTTGAGGCAAATACAGGCTGTCCTACTTCCCGCTGGGCATTCCTATAACTTGCAACTTCCTATCCCATAACCCTCAGGAGTCCTTCTGAGAAATTACCCACATCTTTCAACAATGCTGCCATAGCTCAGGACATTTTGAACTAGGAATTATCTTTAAAACCTATGTCCTTGGTAGACCACCTAAGAAAACCTATCTACTTGATTTCTAATCACATATTTCCCTCTTTATTTTATTACCATGAATCTGTTGGCAATTTTGAAAAAAAACTCATGAAAAGATCACAATTATTCAAAACTGGGCCTAGTTTTTAAAATACTTGCACGTTCAACATTTTATTGTATGCCTACTGTGTGCCAGTCCCCAGGCTAGGATGACAGCCACAGCAATCTGAAGCTCATTCCAAAATAGGTGGCTGCTCTGAAGAGGACCATGCTTATCTGCAGCATAAGTCAGGGCCTCAAGGTTGCTTGTGAAGAAAACTATTTGTAGTATCCTTATAAAAAGAGGGAGATATACCAGAGGTGTGCATCCTGGAAAGGCCAGGTGACGGAACAGAGAGGACTGTTCTCTGCAAGCCAAGGAGAAAGGCCTCTGGAGAAACCTTGGTCTTGGACTTCTAGCCTCTACAACTGTAAGAGGATAAATTTCCATTATTCAAGCCACTAAATAATGCATAAATATTTGCAATCTCTGAATCATCATCCCCTATATCTACACTCAACTCTCTTAGTCTGTTCTTTTGCATAACAGTGCTCTAGACCTTGTATCCATTTCATATCTTTTCATGCCCATTAGTAGGGAGTTCTGTACAGCTTAGGAGGGAGGGAGAATCTTACCCTGCAGACCTAAGCAGCAGGCTTGGGCTGGCTCTTCCTCTTACATTTTTCCTCTTATAGACACCAGGAGCCCCCATTTGGTAACCAGGCTTGATTGGGGATAAGGGTACAGCACTCACGTGGTGACAGTATTCAAGCCACAGGCTCTCATCTTGAGCAGGCGGTCCCTCCAGTATTCCTTGGGCACACGGAAGTAGTGTATGGAGCCCCCAAAGATCCAGAAAGGGGAGTCCTCCAGCATAAAGTTCTGGCCTTTTGCCTGCAGCCCCAACTGCCGGTGCCGGAGCCATGGAGGGATGAGAGAGCTCCAGTCCAACCTGGAAAGCGAAAGGGCCTCATGGAGCCTCAGAGCTCCTCAGCAGCAGTGAGCACAGGCACAGAGAGGAGACCCTTTTCCTTGCCTCCTTCGAAGACCCTCAGCCTCTCTCTCTCTCTCTCTCTCTCTCTCTCTCTCTCTCTCTTGACAGAGCCTGCTCCCGGGGCAGTCAGGCACGGCTCCCACCCTCCACTTAGCCAAACCTTGGAAGTTGTCTTTCTTCAGTACCACTCACTGGGCTGTGCTCCACTGCAGGGGAGGAGCAAGCTGATGCTGCAGCCAGGTACAAGACAAACACAACGTTCAACATGAAGGGACACATGTGCTAAAAAGAGAGAGGACGAGGCAGGGTCACACTACACAGGAAGGGGACTGCTCTCTAACATCAGGAACTCAGCTCCTACCACGGCCAGCTGTTCTAGGCCATCTGACCAAACATTAAAGCAGCAGCTACTAGAAACAGTACCTCCGAGCCCCCTCATGGTCACAGGTACCCGATCTGGGATGCAGACACCTGGAAAGAGGCAGCTGGGTTAAGCCAGTATCAATTCATCAACCAGATTTCCAGATCTTAATTACTTTCTGAAGATCAAGCATCAGTCAAGGGATAACCCAGCAAGGCACAGCCCCACCTGGGAAGGCTGCCAGACAGTTGTAGTCCATCTAAAAGTCCCTCTTGGCATCCTTAGTTTTGGTCATGGGGAGCCCTTCAAATTGCTCCCAGTGCATCAGTGCTCCTAGAATTCTCCTTCTCCACTTAGGCTCCTGAAGGCCATGAAAGAGAGTGGAGAGAGCAGCTGGGAGCTGGAAGTTCTCAGCCAGAAGGTTTAGGAAAGTCAAAAACAGAAAACAAGAACTTGAGTGCATCTGTGGCAAAGGCAAATTTTAGATGGTACCTTTTTCCTTGACCCCTTTCCAGTGCAGCTCCTGGCACTAGAGGGCGTACTACTAGGCAGGACTCCTCTGCATAAAACAGTTCCTGAGTTTCAGGAGGGACTGGACTCTGAGGGCCAGACAGGAGGATCCAATGCCAACAGGATGGCCAGTGCATGATTATCACTGACCACTTGGGAATTTTCTAGGGTCATTCATGGGCAAATAAAATCATTTTTTACTTGCTCCTTCCAACTTCTCACAGCCCCCAGCCTCAAAACTCACTCTGAAACTATAGGTTTACATTTCTACTGTGGATCACCAGGGACCTATTCATGTTCCAACAAGTGACTTGAAACTCACGTGTGAAGACTCAGTCTTTCCAAGGACAACCAATAAGGGGGAGAGAAAACAAAAACAATATCTGGAAGTGGAAGATGTAGACATGAATCTGGGCAGCACTGTCACCTTGGGTTAATGTTACCATCTCTGTGAACAAGACGGTCTATCCCACCTGCTCAGAAAGGAGCTGTGAGGGTCAGGAAAAATGAAATACTCTCTGATGTGTACTGAAGGCGTCTTACCATGATGTGAAAGAAATTTGTGCTAGCATGTTTGCATCTTACAGAGAGTGGCCTCTGTCAGTTTTACTTCCCTAATATGGAACTCTTCCCACCTGGCCATTTTCCCAATTTGAGTTTATAATATTTTATGCGCTAGGCTTCTATCTTATTACAGTTTCTAAAATCTCACAACAAAGGACAATGAGATCCTACCAGACCAACCCAGCCCCTTGCCTGGGCATAACCAACTGCAACAAGTGGCCAGATCCTGCCTGCCCGTCTTTCTGAATCCTGTAAGCTGAGAATGATTTGCACATTTTTAACTAGTTGAAAAAAAGTCAAAACAATAGTATTTTGGGACACATTCAAAATGACATGAATGTCACAGGTCAGTTTCCATAAATAGTTTTATTGGCACATCACCACATCTACCATCTACACATAGATGCTTTGCAGTACACATAAGGAACTTTAATAGGGACTATAAATAAAAAGCTGAAAATATTTAATAGCTGGCCTTTTCCAAATAGTAAACCCTGCCAATCTCTGTCCGAGTAGATGAAGTTCCCACTGGGCCTTCCTTTAGTCATTCTTTGTTCTGCTCTTTCCTTGGCTGAAGCTTCTGACCATTTAGCTTTGTCTGAAGTTTCCTACACCTCAGAAGGGAGAATTTGTGTCTCCCTTGATGTTGACCATATCTCCTCCAAAGAAAGCACTCTGCTTTCCCTTCTGCCTTCCATGCCTGAAGTACTCAGCAGGCTCACCTGATCCTTCCCTAGAGCTCCCACCCAGGCACCTGCTGGACTCGCCCCAGGCTAATACGAGCAAGAACTGGATGGACAGATTTTTTTTTTCTTAAAAACAGCATTTTAGCAAATTAAAACCACGCTAAGATTCCACCTCACCCCTGTTAGAATAGCCATCACCAGCAACACCACCACCAACAGGTGTTGGCAAGGATGCGGGGAAAAAGGAACCCTCTTACACTGTGGGTGGGAATGTAAACTAGTACAACCAATCTGGAAAAAAATTTGGAGGCTACTTAAAAAGCTAGACATTGATCTATCATTTGATCCAACAATACCACTCTTGGGGATATACCCAAAAGACTGTGACACAGGTTACTCCAGAGGCACCTGCACACCCATGTTTATTGCGGCACTATTCACAATAGCCAAGTTATGGAAACAGCCAAGATGCCCCACCACTGACGAATGGATTAAGAAAATGTGGTATCTATACACAATGGAATTTTATGCAGCCATGAAGAAGAACCAAATGTTATCATTCGCTGGTAAATGGATGGAATTGGAGAACATCATTCTGAGTGAGGTTAGCCTGGCCCAAAAGACCAAACATTGTATGTTCTCCCTCATATGTGGACATTAGATCAAGGGCAAACACAACAATGGGATTGGACTTTGAGCACATGATAAAAGCGAGAGCACACAAGGGAGGGGTGAGGATAGGTAAGACACCTAAAAAATTAGCTAGCATTTGTTGCCCTTAACGCAGAGAAACTAAAGCAGATACCTTAAAAGCAACCGAGGCCAATAGGAAAAGGGGACCAGGAACTAGAGAAAAGGTTAGATCAAAAAGAATTAACCTAGAAGGTAATACACACGCACAGGAAATCAATGTGAGTCAATGCCCTGTATAGCTATCCTTATCTCAACCAGCAAAAACCCTTGTTCCTTCCTATTATTGCTTATACTCTCTCTATAACAGAATTAGAAATAAGGGCAAATAGTTTCTGCTGGGTATTGAGGGGGTGGAGGAGAGAGGGAGGGGGCGGAGTGCGTGGTAAGGGAGGGGGTGGGGGCAGGGGGGAGAAATAACCCAAGCCTTGTATGCACATATGAATAATAAAAGAAAAAAAACCCAGCATTTTATTAGGGTGTGATGGCACACATCTATAGTCGTAGTACTCCAGAGGCTTAGGCAAGAGGATCATGAATTCAAGGCCAGCCCGGGCTATGAAAAGAGCCTATCTCAAAAATAAGAGGGGTGTATTTTGACAGTGTAAGGGTGAAAATACACACACACACACACACACACACACACACACACACACAATCTCATTGGGGGGGTTCATTTTTTGAAACAGTCTCATTATGTAGCCCAGGCTGGTTTCTAATTGCTATGTAGCCCTTGATGGTCTCAAACTCGTGACCTTCCTATCTCAGCCTCCAAACTGCTATGATTATAGAGGTGTGTACCACAAAGCCTGGCACAATCTCATCATCACCATCATTATTTTTGTTGTTATTATTGTTATTATTATGGCAGTAACGGGGATTGGACTCAGGGCCCCTGCACTTGCTAGGCAAAGTGCTCTACCACTTGAGCCATGCCACTAGCCCTTTTGCTTTAATTGTTTTTTAGTTAAGATTTCCACTTTTGTCCAAGATGACCTTGGACTGCAATCCTCTCTCTGCCTCCCAAGTAGCTGGGATTACAGATGTGTACCACCACTCCCAGCTCCCACAGTCTCACTATGGCAATGACAATGCAATTTAGTGATCACTTCACCAGGTAGCAATCCTTATTCTCTGGCCAGAATTTGAAAAGCACAGTCTCTCATTCTTGACCAAAGCACACATCACTGATCCTACAGGTGCAAAAGCTTCCGCCTCTCCACACAGTGGCAAAGATGGAGACAGGCTGTCTGCGACCCTCATTTCAACATGGTCCCTGCCAATAATAGACACCTTTATCTGTGCCCTGCTGGTGAACAATCTAGGCTAACTTCTCCAGATTGGTCTGAAGACAGGATTTTCATCCACAGCTGGCTAGAAATATAGAAACATAGGAAAACTGAGACCTAGTGAAACAAAATTTCCAATTTAATCAGATCCCAATGCTAAAGGTGAAGAAGCACCAATCTGTGCCTTCTCTCTCGATCTCTGCATATACAGTCTTTCTCTGGATAGAGCTTCTCTTTAGTGTCTTTGTATTCTACCATTTCTAGATTTTAACAAAAAAAATTTCTTCTTGGCAGTTATCAAGAGGCAGGAAATAAATATCACAAACAAAAAAGCTAGCTGTTGAATTCTAGAGAATTCAAGTGTTTCCTTTCTGGACATTTTCTGGTTGATACCTTAATAAAAGAGATGAATTTGGTGAGAAAATAAGGATGATAAATGTCGGGTTTCTCCAAGGAGCTCACAATGAGAAAATGAGATGATGCAAGTTAGAGCTTCAAGCACCAACAACGAAGCACTATGCAAATGGTCATTAGCACTAATCATGATCGTTAATACTAATGATCATCGTATTAAGAATAACCCCCATAATTTCCTGAGTAGTTAACTCAGTAACAAAAACATAAAGGAAATATCAACTGGGTGGTTACCTCTGGCTGATTGAAATGTCAGAGGGACTTTACTCCTAAATTAGGCTTGTCACCAAGGAGCTCAACCATACCCTGAAGAAGCCAGTATTTCTGTTGTTTTTGCTAGTGACTACTTCATTCATGATAAAATTTTCTTGAATGAAACCAGGGACACTTGCCTTCTTTGGAGTGGGAATCTATATCAACACTTTCTTCTGCCATTTCCATTGC